ACACTTCCCTGGGGAGAAGAATGTCAGTTAATGGAGAGAAGTTGGTGAAGAGTGAAAAAACGAGGGAATTAATTTTTCCATCGAATTACGACCTCCTCCGCCACTTACAGTATGCAACACATTTTCCTATACCTCTGGTAAGTCATGGCTTCAGTTCATTTACACCCTAATTATCTTGTTGTAAGATCATTGGCCATTGAATGTCTGATTACTCATCTATTTTCTTGACTTCTACATAATGATAGCTGGTGAGCTTTTTTGCCTTTGCTGCTACTTTTGTTGTAAATCTGATATTACCGCTTATGCATGGATGGAGTTCAAATTTGTGGTGTGATATTAGTTGCTGGTTTGATTTAGAAAATGAAATTCTCCCAGTCATGCAGTGAGTAACACGTTTGACTACGGATCAGAAAATGAAATTTTCTGTATTAGTATCCTGTCATTAAAGAGCATTTGAGTTACTGCAAATGATGTCTAAATGTGTTTTCCTTTTTGTGTTTATTTTCCACTTTGAAAGTAAGTTTACTGAGTAGTTTTTAGGTGTACTGTATAGGGTAGGTGGTTTTGGTATTATGCAGATGAATAAGAATTTTGCAGCACAGGAAAGATAAAAAAGATAGGAAGGAGACAAACATTTAGAAATGACAAGCACTCAGATAAGTGCAGTAATTGAGACACCCACGGGAAGGTGAACCGTTTGACATTCCTGGATCCCTTCTACTCTGAAAGAATGAGTATTGGGGAGAATAAGAGCATTTGGTTGAAAAATTGAGTAAGACTTCATAGAAGAGGTGACATGTGAGATAGGCTTGGATTTAGACCTTGAATTTAAGAACTGGATAGCAAATGGGAAATGCTTGCCAGGAAATTTAGTGTCTGAGTGTTAACAAAATAGCATGCTTCATTCTAAGGGGAGACAAAGTTAGTTTTTTGATATTAGTAATAAAAATTTGGCCAAAAATTGTGAACATTTTTTATTCTTGGGTTCACTTTTTTTCCCCCCTGGATTTTTGTGTTAAGTGCAATTTTAGTCTTTTTTAATGGGTGTTACTTTGATGTGTCAAAAAATGTACTCATAGGTATATTAGTTACTTTCTTGATGACTTTGAGGAGTTTGATCTGTAAATTAAGTATTTTGTGAAAGTCATTTATTTTTTGGTATTTTGGAACCTCTTCTGAAAAGACTTTCAAAATTACTAAACCCATATACTGCTTCTTATTACAACTGGAAATCCCTTTTGTTAATTTTTCTATTTTCACGGCTATGTAAAAACTTGGCAAAACTTGTTCTCTTTCACTGCCTGAGTATATTTACAGTTTTCAACTGTTACTATAGACTTCATTCATTTACAATATAATAGAATAATCTCACAATTTATTTAAGGGAATGGAGAGGGTAGCCTCATATTTCAGAGATGTTTCATTCTGAACAATTCATGGATGAATCATCATGTGTCCTGGGACTTGTTTTTAAAATATTCAGAATAAAACGGGGTATGTATTGAGGTCTAGAGTTTAATAGTATTGTACCAACATTAACGTCTTAGTTTAAACAAATGTGCTGTAGTTCTTGTAATTTGCTAACATTAGGGGAAACTGGGTGAAGGACATATGGGAGCTCTCTGTACTATTTTGCAATTTTTCTGTAAATTGGAAATTACTCCAAAATAAAGAAGTTCATTTAAAAAAAAAAAACACATGTCTGTGCGCTGTGGCTCAGCCTGTAATCTCAGTACTTTGGAAGGCCGAGGCGAGAGGATTGCCTGAGCCTGAGGGTTTGAGACTAGCCTGGGCAACTTGGTGAGACTTCATCTCTACAATAAATCACAAAAAAATTAGCTGGGATGGTGACATGTGCCTATAGTTCCAGCTACTTGGAAGGCTGAGGCAGAAGGATCGCCTAAGCCCATCAGATCAAGGCTGTGGTGGCCATGAGCGTGCCACTGCACGCCAGCCTGGGTGACAGAATGCTACTCCAACTCAAAAAAAAAAAACAAAAACCAGAAAAAAGGAGAAGGTAAATAAAACAAATATAGCAAAATGTTCAAAAAGGTTGAAACTGGCTGACGGTCATATACTCCTCTTTGGGGTAAGCAGAGCTTTGCAGGTCTCTATCCTCCATGTGTCTGGGTGTCAGAGCAGGGCACTAAGTCTCAGCATCTTTATTTTGCTGTTCCTGTGGCCTTTCCTTCACAGTCCTCCCTAGTGTTTAGCATTCTCAGGACTGTCTTCTTCCTTAGAGGAAAGAGTTTGATTTCTTTCCAGTGACCAAGTCTCAGGATGCATCACGAGATAATTAAACTGTGATGCAATCACAAAAGAACTGCTCAACAACTGATACTGTAGGATACACGGTTGTTTTTTTTTTTGAGTTGGAGTCTCACTCTGTCGCCCAGACTGGAGTGCAGTGGCCGCTCCCGGCCACCACAGCCTCTACCTGCTGGGCTCCAGCGATCCTTCCGCCTCAGCCTTCCAAGTAGCCGGAATTACAGGCATCCGCTACCACGCCTGGCTGATATTTTGATTTATTGTAGAGATGAGGTCTCGCTGCCCAGGCGGGTTTTGAACCCGCGGGCTCAGGCAATCCACTCACCTCAGCCTCCCAAAGGCGTGGGATTACAGGCTGGCCACTGAGCCTAGCTAGGGTACATGTTTTTAATAGCCTTTCACCACCAGTTGTCCTAAATCCTCCTTTATCATGAGAACAATTCAGTGGAAGCTAGGGGAAACAAAGGATATGCTAATATAACATTGACATTAGGGATGCTATTGAGAATCTGTTTTTTTTTTTCTCCCCTTAATAAAAAGGGAAAGTCTGACTAATTTACCAGGCACATAAGCAGATTGTAAGATATGGTTCATAAAAGGATTTTATCTTCCCTTGGCTCTAATATGTAGCCCTAGTGAGTGAAGACCAAGGAGAGTAGACTAAAAGGGGATTGACCAAAGATTCAGAACAATTCAGTAGTTTCATGTATGCTGTTATGTAAATAATGTCTTAATCTTCCCATCAGTAAAACATGTTTAGGAGATTACCAGCAAACACAGGTTCTAGTGCATATGCATTCTTTCTTTTTTTTTTTATTGAGTTGGAGTCTCACTGTGTTGTCCAGACTGGAGAGCAGTGGCATGCTCATGACCACTGCAGCTTTGACCTGCTGGGCTCAGGCGATCCTTCCACCTCAAACTTCCAAGTAGCTAGAATTATAGGCACGCTCCACCACGCCTGGCTAGTTTTTTGATTTATTATAGAGATTAGGTCTTGCCAAGTTGCCCAGGCTGGTCTTGAACCCCTGGGCTCAGGCAGTCCTCTCACCTCAGCCTCCCAAAGTGCTGGTATTTACAGGTTTGAGCCACTGCGCCTGGCCTCATATGTATTCTACTAGCCTGTCACGTAAGGAGTCATTTGTACTGTGTCAGATGTGTGATGCTTCTGGGAGTTTCTGTCATTACTACTAGCTAGCTATATTTTGTGCAGCACGTAACCATGTTGTAAGTCTTGTGATAGGCATTTTGTGCGTTTTCTCATTTATTATTCACTTTAGACTCAGAATATTTTTATAAAGTTGTAGATAGGAATTTTAAGCTTCAGAAAATGATTCTTTCAATGTAAAAGTTAGTTTGGAAACAACTTACTTTCCTAACTTCCAGGAACATCCTTACTTGATCACTGCAGCTCATGCAAATGGATTACCAACTGTTTTTGTATAGGAATTTATGAATGAAATTAAAAATAAACACAGCATCTCATGTTTGCTTATCTAAACTTTTCCAATGTTCAGTTCCCTAATATATCTTATGCTTAGTGCTGTGTATCGAATCCTTTCTGCGTTTTGAGTTGGACTCTCATTCTGCTGTCCAAGCTGTAGCGCAGTGGCGCAGTTATGGCTCACCACAACCTCAACTTCCTGGGCTCAAATGATCTTCTCACCTCAGCCCTCTGATTAGCTGGGACTGTAGGCTCGTGCCGTTATGCCCAGCTAATGTTTATTATTTTTTTTTGTAGAGATGAGGCCTCTCCATGTTGCCCAAGCTGGTCTTGAACTCCTGGGTTCAAGTGATCCTCCTGCCTCAGCCTTCTAGAGTGCTGGGATGACAGGTATGAGCCACTGAGCCTGGCCCAGTGGAGATAATTTGACCAAAGAGTTGTGACCCTGAGAGCTGGAGTTGCTCATATTTTAAACTGCTGGCCCCTTTTGGAGTCAAGCTCATCTTTCTGGACCTGAGCAGCACCTGACAGCCCAGCCTGTACATGTTCTTAGCATAACTGTGCTATCTGGAGTTGGGGTATACTATTTTTCCATACCTTTGATGTGTATTTCTAGTTCCAAAACAATATGTTCAATAGTTAATATGACTTATCACTCTCCCTGAAAATGTTATCAGGCTTATGTATTTCATATCAGTACAAAATAAATATAAGAAATCACTAGATGTATTAATGCTCACAGTAGGATATATATATCTCCTTTATGTGCAATATAAGTATATATAATGCATTCAAAATTATCTGTATATCTCCAAACCTCTTATAAATAAAAGTTTTAAAAAATAAATCAGGCACAGGTGGTTTCATGTAACCTGCTCTCTCTCTTTTTTAAAGTTATCTAAAAGGCTTTAAAATTTTGGTGCTGAAGGGCTTTATGGCAACTTACATAGAGATTATTTTGCATATTTTTTTTTATCAAGAAGTCACTTCTAGACATTTAAATGAATGCCTTATGAATACCTCTGAGTCTGTGTCACAGACCTCTTTTGGATTTTAAGGATATTGCAGGATTTTACATTGGTTCAGCAAGACTGTAGGTATTTCGTACAATTATTTGGGCTAGGGATTATCAACAACACTAAGAGTACAAACTTGGCTTGCATTTAGAAACAGCCTTTCTAAGTTATCCAGTTCACATTTGCTTGCTGTTTGTATTTGTTCTTCCTGAGATTGTTTTCTTCTCTTGATGGTCCGATAAAGCAAGAAGTGGTAGCGTGAACAATCCCGTCTTTCATGCATCGTTTTCACATCGTGATTTTTCTTTCTGAGCCTTGGTCTCTTTAGACGAGGCAAAAGTCTCAGTGACCTTTAAGCGGAATGCATTTGAGAGATGGTAGTACAGGATGGGATCAAAGCACAGGTTTGACACAGCCAGGAGCAACGTGGCCTCTTTGGCTTTGAAGAGTGAAATCCTGGTAGAGCAGTCAGATATGACTTCCGTCTGGCTGAGGGTGTATGGGATTCGGACAACGTGGTAAGGAACAAAGCATATGATGTAGGCTGTACTCACTAGAAGAATGTTGATGAGAGCGCTTTTCACATTTGGATAGTTTTCATTGTCTTTGTTTCTGTAGAGTTGTCGAATTACAAGGCAATTGGATATTAGAATGATGGCTGAGAAATTTAAAAATATCGCGACACAGATGAAATTTGTCAGCAAATGCCAATTTCTTCCAAATTCCCTTTTAAATTCCATACAACCCACACTTGACTTTTCCTTGATGTCTTTGATGGGAATCACCATGTTTGGCACCATTATAAGAAGGACCATGAGCCACACGACGGTTGATATCATTTTGGCAAATCCAGGTTCTTGTATTCGATAGATCTTGCAGCTGTGTGTCAACTGAAGGTAGCGGTCAATGCTGACAAATGCTAAGAAGATAATTGATAAGTACATATTGATGTAGATGAGGCAGGCTGTCACTTGGCAGTGGAATATTCTCAGCTTCCAGGGTGCCACACCCAAGTCGACAACAATTTTCACAGGTAATGCCAGAGTGAGCAGGAAATCGGCCGTCAGCAAGTTAATCAAGTATATGCTCACACACTTCTGCTTCGTGTTGTTCTGTATAAAAGCCCAGGCTGCAAAGCAACTTCCAATAATTCCAATGAGGAAAACTAAATAAAAAAAATATGTGAATGGCTCCAGATCTCTGTAAACTGGGCAGAAGGAACTGTTTGTCATCTTGAAGGGAAAGTAAAGATGCCCCTGTCAATTGGGAAAAAAAAATCCAAAGTGTCTGTGAAAATAAAAAAGGGAAAGGAGATTAGTAATTAAAATTAAAAACTATTTTGTTTAAAAATATTTGCGCTTACAATACCATTATCTTTCTAGTTCTTAAGAATTTTATTGGTGAACTCAATAGACCATGTGTCCTGGTGATGAGAACATCTTAGATTATGAGGAAGCCTGGGTTTTCTAATTGTCTGATTTTGTGACATTTAGGAAATTCCGTGTGGGTTTGCTTTTGGAAGGGATATTTTTGACCTCAGGCTTTTGTATTCTAGTGGTTCTTTTGTTAGTAACTGAGTTGGAAGTTAGTTTGCAGAGGAGATAAGTGAACTGATATTCTGAGAAGGAGAGGAAACTAGGCTTGTGGTTGAGTCTGAAGAGCTTTCATTGAGGCTGATTTTTTTCCCCTTCCTAGATTCATAAAGCTGACAGGGACGGTAAGGAGTGACAGAAAAGCATGGCATGACTTAAAAGTGTTATTTACAAAGAGGCCCTTTATTGTGTGTCCTACTAGAACATTTTCAGAACAAAAATTCCTTTTTCTTTTTAGCAGAAAGAGTTGAAGGATTAGAAGCTGGTCCTGAACTGATGCTAACCTCCTCCCTTTTCATCGCTCTAGTTTCATGACAGTGTAGACCTATGATGTCCAGGACCACAGCCTCTGGCCACATGTGGCTGTTGAACACTTGAAATGTGGGCAATCTACAGAGACATGTGCCCTAAATGCAAAATACACAGGGGATAGTGGAGATTTAGTACAAAATATTATTAAAATAGTGCAAGTAGTAAAAATTATGCTATTTTATACAAATAGTACAAAAATTAGTAAAGTATCTTTAATACCATATTAATGTATTTTTATTGAGCACAAATTGAAACGATATTTTTGGTATATTAGGTTAAATACGTTATTGAAATTAATTTATCCTGTTTCCCGTACCTTTTTAAAATCCTGCTACTGGAAAAACTTAAATGACCTTTGCAGTTTGCATTATAGTTCTATTGGACAGTGTTTGTATAGATGTTTCCATGTCAGTGTTTTTGAGTAACTGCTTTTCATGAAAAGTATATTTTAAAATCTTCTAGAACATGAACATATGTTAATTGGTTATGACGTCATCAAAGAAGCTCAGTTGTATTTGTATAAAAATATCTAGCTTTAATACTTGAGCGAGTTTTTCTTTCACTGTGGGTTTTGAGGCAAAGGCCCAGAAGTAGAAGACATACCCTTAGAACCATTATGATCAACAAAGTGTCACTAAAAGGTGCATGCCCTTTCTATTTTCCTACCTAGGTTAGAACTTTAGGATCCATAAATCATGTCATTATTTATCAAGCTCGGTGAAAATAATTAAGCACTTGCTTTGTGTTCGGCACTGTGCTGAGTACTTTCCCTGTACTTATTTAGTATTTCATCACTCCTATGAAATAGATGTTATTATCATCCCTGTTTTACAGATAAGAAAACTGAGGTGTAATGAGGTTAAATACTCAAGGTTATAGAGCTGGTAAGCTATAGTCCAAACCCATCAGTCTGATCTCAGAAGCCACGTTCAAAACCATGGCGAAACACTGTCCAACAGTAACAACAGTAATGGTGATGATGGTAATGATTATCGTAGCAACCAATCTTTACCAAGGGCTTACTGTGGGGCAGGAACTATGTTCTAAGCAATTCTTATGTAAAAGAGCTAAAATATAATGCTCATTTTAACTTTTGTTCCTAAATACTAGTAAAAAGAATTTAGGCTTTTTATGTATTTTGACGTTTCATTTTACTACGTATATAATTAATAACCAAACCTAGGTTCCATCTGGCAAGTTTAGACTGAGTGTACTTGAAAAGTTCCTGTAACCTAGTTTCTCCCTACCATCTATCACTGAGCCCTAATTCTCCACTTCAGATGCAAAGTGCCAGGATTTTGGCTTACACTTTTTTATTTTAAATTTTACATAACAATGTGTTTCTTTCGGTGCATGATCGCTTGTACAACCATACAGTGAAGTCTCACTTTATTTAATGACTTATGTGGTAAAGAGAAAAGTCAGAGTACTTTATTTTGATTAATTTATTTGAAACTAGAACTGACTATGCTGTACACGAGTAGTTTATTTAAAATAGCTTCAGTGTAACTAATCATTTAATAATACTTGAAAATCATGGAGTGTCTCATATTGCTTTTATGAACTGTCATCTAGATCAATGAAAAGCATATCTGTTTATTTAAAGTTTGGGGTTATGTTAAAGAGAGGTTAAATTATACTATAATAGCATCCTGTGTTCTCTGTCACAAATTGGAGAACTAGGTGCTCAATAGATATTTGGCCAACTAATTATTAGCCAGTGGAAAATTGAGGTACTTAAAGGTATTCTGGCAAATTTAAGATAAGATTGTAAATTTAAGATAAGATTGTAAATGTCTTCTTAGTTTGGATAGAGTGCTCATTTTTTCGAAAATAAACTCATTATATTTTCTTTCTATGGAAAGCACAGTGGAATTTTCTTGAAATTACCCATAGTAATGTTTGTAGAGGAAAGTAATTCTAAGCCCTGTTATACCCTCTTGTGAAGACCTACAACACGGCCATTACCTGTCCAGTTATAAAGTTGAATTCTTGAGTAGTTATGCTCGCTTAGATAACCAGCCTGGCATAAATTAAGCTGTTGTTTTGAGGCAGGTGGATGGGGACATCAGATAGAGGAAGAATAGGGTGCTGTTCACGGCTAGACCTACTGAGAATTTAATAATGGGGGCCCTCTTACACAACACTTTGTTACATGTTAGCTTTTTCTACTGATGAGCTTTAAAAACTGAAAATCATAAATCTGTCTTCCATGGAAATGTACTTGAATATATTAAGTATTTAAAAAGACATACCTGGGATGTCTTCAGAGAGCCTCCGTGGGCCCAGCTGCAGGTCCTCAGAGAAGTAGGAGCTGGTCGGTTAGCTGCAGCAACAGACAGAGCCCATGGCAGGTCTGCTGCTGGCTGTACTAAACATTTCCTTTCCTTTTTGTGTGGTTTTAAAATGTTGCATATTGACGTAGATGAAACTGTGGTTTGCAGATAGTTTAACTGTATGAACGTCTCCTAAATAAAAAGTTTTAAAACACTTTCATGCATGTTTTCTCAAGCAATTCGTTTGTCAGTATTTTTTTGGAGAAAGGATTTTCCTCTGGCCATTGTAGTACCTAGACTTCAGTGTTTATGCCTTGAAAGGGATTAAAGGTATAAGGTGTTTAAGCAGATATTTATTCAGTATACCTAGTGATACTCACCAGCGTTTCAAAGTTATGATTCAAAAATATTTTTTCAGTTTGTGTCCCTGCTGAGACAGCTGTTAATAAGCAAAAAAAGACAGGATTTAACTGAGTCTGCTAAAGTGTATGTTTTACTTATCTTTATTCTTCTTTTGTTCATTGTAGAAAATTCTGGAAATAAAAGAGGAGTGACATTATACAGAGAGATAATTACTGTGAACATTTTTGGTACATCTATTTCAAAAGTTTTCTGTGCTTATGCATGCCCACTTAAAATATTATATTGTACATACTATTTTATGGTTTGTAATTGTTTTTTTTTTTTGAGTTGAAGTCTCACTCTGTCGCCCAGACTGGAGTGCAGTAGCTGCTCCCTGCCACCACAGCCTTGACCTGCTGGGCTTCAGCGATCCTTCTACCTCAGCCTTCCAAGTAGCTGGAACTACAGGCGTGCGCTACCATGCCCGGCTCATTTTTGATTTATTGTAGAGATGAGGTCTTGCCAAGTTGCCCAGGTGGGTCTCGAGCCTGCAGGCTCAGGCAATCCACTCACCTCGGCCTCCCAAAGCGCAGGATTACAGGCAGTTTGTAATTTTTAATTGAAAATATGTTGTATCTGTTTTTTTAAGTTATGAGACAATAAGTATTTGTCAAGTTGATACTGATAGCTTAATGAATTGGGACAGGTATTTAGTAATTAATAGATTATATGTAAAGGATCCCCTCAGTGTGCATTTAAATTGTTTTCTTAAATGTTCATTCTGCCAGCTGGACTCAGTGACTCAGCCTGTAATCCCAGCTCTTTGGGAGACTGAGGTGAGTGGATTGCCTGAACTGAGTGGATTGTCTGAGCCTATGGGTCCGAAACCAGCCCATGCAACTTGCTGAGACCATGTCTCTACAATAAATAAAAAATTAGCTGGGCATGGTAGAGTATACCTGCAGTTCTGGCTACTTGGAAAGCCGAGACGGAAGGATTGCCGGAGCCCACCAGGTCAACACTGGGGTGGCTGTGAGTGTGCCACTGCTCTCCAGCCAGGGTGACAGAGTGAGACTGTAACTCAAAAAGAAAAAAAATTGAAGAAACCCTCCAGAATTGAAAACGAATCCTTTGGTATTAGCTTTGAAAAAGAAAAGTCTCAGCAGGTGCCGTGGCACATGCCTATAATCCCAACACTTTTGGAGGCCAAAGTGAGAGGATTGTCTGAGCGCACAGGTTCGAGACCAACCTGGGCAACTTGGCGAAACCTCATCTCGACAGTAAATTTAAAAAATTAGCTGGTCATGGTGGTGCGTGCCTGTAGTTCCAGCTACTTGGAAGGAAGAGGCGAAAGGATCGCCTGAGCCCAGCAGGTTGAGGCGGTGACCAGGAGCATGCCACTGCACTCTGTCCTGGGTGACAGTGAGACTTCAACTTAAAAGAAAAAATTAAAAACCAAACCTCTGGAAAGACTAAATAAGAAATGTCTAGCTGGGAAAAATTTAGGGAGAGTCTAAGGGGACTTTTGAAAAAAAATGTAAGGATGTGTATGGTGATAATGGACACTTGTTTCAGATAGTCTGACATTCTCACAGATTCTTGTGATGATGATGACTTTTGCCAATGATATATGTGTGTGTGCATATATTTGTTCACAAATTAAAGGGGGAAATAATATGTTTCTCCAACTTTGTATTTGATTTTTAGTTAAGAACCAGTGTGAATTTTCAG